CAGCCATCTTGATTCTTGCCAATATTTCTCAATATGTCCAACAGTTCCTAACATTTTTTAAAAACTTGTAATAGATTAGTAGGTTGCAAATATAGGCTATGAACCTCGTGGAATTTTCTGGAAGTTGGGGGTGGCATTTGTGAAAGTGTGAAATGGGAGATGAATTGAAATAGACATGGGTAAGAACTGAAGAGATTAAAAATGGTACAACTGTTTTTTTCATAGTAATGGTTTTAAGATTAATGATGTTAAAATTTATTTGTACTCAGACTTAAAAGGAAATGATAGTCATCTAATACTTTGCACAGCACTTTATGGTTGTCAAAGCATTTTCACATACATTATACTCTATATGTACATATTAATTTTCCTGGCAGCACCCAAAAGGCATCTGTATGGCTGTAATCTAAATAAATATGAATTAAGCAGCAGATCAATTGATTGCTGTGAAAGAAAAATTAAAAGGATCATGGTATAACTGGAGCAGTAATCAGAGTCATTATAATTGGTATTTTATGCAAGAAGTTTATATTCAGTGGCAAAAAATATTGCTTCGAACTACCTGATTATTTTTGAATCTGGGTCATTGATAGTTTAATAAGCAGGCTTTTGGAATCAACTGTAAAACTTCTTTTCCTCAATTCTATTGGGACTGTACACTCTGAGGAAGGAAGTATTTTTTGCTTACTATTGTATCCCAAGACGTCTTCCTGCAAACTACCTACTACTTTGGGTAAATTTGATGAAAGAATTTCATCCTATTCTGGTAACAATTATTTGCATATATTTGAGGACAACTAAATTTTAGTTCCCCAAGAACAGGATAGAACTTTGCTTTTTGTCTGAGTCTCTAGAAACAACAATTGAAACTATTATAGAAAGAGGAAATTTGGCTTTTCACTAACAAAGTGAAGTATCTGTCATTTTTTCTTCCTTATGAAAAACAACTAACTTGGGCATTAGGTTTAATCTTAAGGTCCTTCCTATGTGGAAAGACATAAAAGATACTATGGATGAAGAATGATTTTTTCATAGCAATTGGTCTCATTTCCAAGGTCGGAAAAACCAAAGTGACTGCAAAGAATGTGATCCCACAGTTCTCACAGTGTTCCTGGGTCCACCATTCAAGGAACAGTCCCTGTCTTTTGGCTTAGCTCACTGAATGGGCCATAATAATAATAACAAATTTGAAGAAAAAACATTTGATTTCTAATGTTACTATGTATTGTTTGTTATGTGCCAAGTCTTGTAAAGCACTTTACAACTTGGTATTATTTTCTCCTGACAGGAGCATCCCAAGGAAGTACTTTCATTGGTTCATCGTGAGGCTCAGAAAGGGATCATCCTAGTGTATCCTGGCTCATTCCTACAGTCTAGAAAAGGATGACGATTACATAAGTGGATGAAGGTAATATTCCTGGTAAGAAAGCACAGAGAGTGGAATACAGACTCAATACACTAAAAGAAATCAGTCACTTTAGGTTGCACTTCTGAGTTTCATATGAAATTTGAAATACAAAAATAAGCATCAAAGCACAGACTGGATGGAGATGGGGTTCTATGTATTTTTGCATTTGTTCTATTCATTTTATGTGTTCTATATTATTGTAACAATTATTTAAGAAAGCTGCTGTAAAATTTATGCATACATATTTCATTGCTAGCCAGACTGTGATCATGGCTATCTATAGCAAGTTTATAAAATTCTACTAGACATAGAGACACAGAGAAAGAGATATAAATTACAACATAGAGATAGAGATGGGGTGGACAGATCAGAACAGTCTCCTCAGAGATGATGATTGAGCTTGGCCTTTAAAAAGAGCAAGTACTTGAAAAAGTGTTCCACATCAAAATTAGAGAAATGTAAGTCAGAACCACAGTGAGTTATCATTTCATTCCAGTAAATATAGCTGTTTGCAAAAATAGAAAAGATAAAAAGTGCTGGTAAGAATGTGGAAGAAATGAAGCACTTTCATATTAGTGGTGGGCATGCAATTAGTTGCTAAGGACAACAGTATGAAGGTTCTTCAAAAATTAAAAATATAACTATGTTCAGCTCTCCCAATAATCAGTGTCGGAGACACAGAATCAACTGAGTTTATCAATGGATGAAAGAAAGGGCTCATATGTACAATGGAGTATAATTCATAGCAGGATGGAATCCTATAACTTGCAATGTTATAGATAGATTCCAAGATCACAATGTTAAGAGGCCACTTACAGAAAGATAAACATTGCACAATTCTACTCATTTTAGAGTCTAAAAATGCTTGGTTTATAGGCTTAAGATAGACTAGTGATAATCCTGTTGTGGTAACAGTGGTTACCACAGAGCCAGAGAATGCACTCAAGCCAGATTGGTGGATAGGCACAGTGTCACAGCTAGATAGGAGTACAATATGCTTTGCTGTTACAAAAAGGGTGATTGTTATGTAATATAACGAGAATTAGAAGAGGATTTTGATTCCACAAAGAAGTGCTAGATAGTGGATAACCTATGTATCTTGCCTTTATCAATACACAGTGAGTAAAGGTGCACAAGCATCACACTGTGTTCCAGAGACATGCACACTTCTTATTTGTCCATTGGAAAAAAAAAGATGATGACTTATATGAAGTGAGAAAGTGCATGAGCATGTATGTGTTTCTAGGAGCTAAGTTGGCACTCTACAATGACACAAATGGAAGAATTCACATCAAAAGCCTGGAGGACACCAGCCAAGGTTGACCAAAGGTGGAATAGAGGGGATGGCCCATTTGGTCTCAAATTTATGTTTCATGTATCAAAGCCTCCCACTACTCTTTTTTGAAACCTTGCTAATGGACTACCCCCTACATCCTTCCTTGAAGACACTCCTTGTTTTCCACTTAACTCACTCTTAGAATTTTACTTTCTGAAACCTGCTAGGACACTAGGGCCAAGTCACCTCTTCTGATTGCCAGTGCAAGGCCTAACCTGGACCTGCCTCCTGGCATCTGGCCCTTTCTGTAGTGATGTCTGGGTGGAATGTCTGCCTTCCTCTTGGCAAGCTCCTTCCCAACATGGCATCTCTCAGAGACACAGGCAGACAAATGGTTCTCAGCTACTATCAACTCTTAGCACAATCATTGGCACAGAATAGGTTCTTTATCATTGTAAATGAAAGTGAACCCAATAAATAAAATCTTTCCAGAAACCACAATTCAGAAGGAGCAACAACAATACTGACAAGGAAGTTGCTGGTAGTCCTTTGTCTACCTCGCCTTGCAATGTTCAGTCTGCACTAGGCTTTTAGCTGCTTTGTGTTCTGGGAAGTTCAAGGCTCAGAAAGTTCTGTAAAATGTTCTCTTGTTTTCCTCTGAGAAAGGGAGAAATGATCAAAAAGCTTTTCTTGCTATATACCCATCAATCATGCAGACATTATTTTTAAAAAATAATTTATATTCCAACACGCATTGGACTAGCGGTGGGGATAGCTGATGTTTGAATTTTTTTTTCCTCTTGTTACTCAAGTCTGCTTTTTTGGAGCTTTCAGACCCACACACTTATGTCACTAGTCGCAAGTCTCTAATTATGCTCCCCACCCCTATGAAAGATAAATGGCATGGATATAAACTTACATTTGTCAGAATTGATTTCCTGTTTTAATTGAGGGGTATAAGCTATCAGTCTTTTCCAGCAACAGAAACATGTGTGCTCTGATTATATCTATCAGTCTTTCTTGGATTAGTGTTAGTCTAAGAAAAGAGAGAAGCCGTGACAGAAACACACTCCCCTGTTGGTATCTTTTCACTTCCCTTAAATAGATGCAGGTTTTTTTTTTTATGTGTAATTACAAGCTAAAAATATCAATAACGTGAAGAACAATTTATGCTGTGACTGCCCTTTAAAAGTGAGCTTTTCCTTGTCTAATTCGGGTTGAGAAATTCTGCCTTTTATTTTTTTAGATTTTTAATTCATTCAGTCTCACATCTTCTGAGCTTTTCACTTTTCTTGCTTCCTGGAAGGTGGTCATGAAATTCGTTTTCTAAACATGAGTCTCAGGTCACCCAACTGCTTGTGGAAAGCACCCCCTCGTTGCTGACCATCAACAGAGTGGTGAAAACGTATCCCACAAGGCTGCACATTTGGATGCCATTCCCAGGAAGGTGAGCAATGTGGGCTTCCCCTCATAGGCAGAATGACAAAGTGAAAGGCCAGCACCTAGCATGCCTAAGTTGGAGATCTTTGTGTCAACCATTCATAGACGTGCTCATAACATTCATCTAGCCCTCTAAAAATACACTGCAACTCACTAACTGTCCATATAAAAACAGGCAAAGGACACAACTGTATAATTCTCCAAATGAAAATTCCAACTATCCTAACGGAATGAGGGACATATTTTTCCATACTCATGATACTAGCACCCTACTTTGTATTCCTCCTTTAATAATGGCACAAGACTTTACTAATTCTCTTCATTAGAAAATGGCAAGAGGAAGAAAACATTTGGGTAGGCAGAGAGGCTGGGAAACATGTGAATTTGTCATTGGTGGCATAGGCTGTCTTTGAATGAATGCAAGAGGCCTACAACCGGAAGAGCTTGAGGCTCCCACTTGTTCAGTCAGGGATGTGGAGGTAAGTTCTAGAAAGAACCCTGGGCTGTCCGAGTTGACAGTGCTTCCGCGCAGGGTTTGGTGTGGTGACCAAATTGAAGAGCGCTGAGAAGTTGGGTAATTTTTCAAATGTCACATATCTTATTCATGTTTAGCATAAGATTCTGCCACTTTCACACATGTATATTGGGCAACTGAATCAATGTTTACACAACTAGAACCACACACAGACGTGATGGACAAACCTCAAGGTAGCACTGAGCAGAAGTGAAGCTGGATGTCCACATGCATGTCCTGATATGAATTCCTATCGTGGATGGAAAATCAATAAGGTTGTAATGTTCTGCTATTTCTTGAGAGCCTAGAATGTGGAGCCCAAATCAGGACAGACAGATTTCAAGGGAAAATAGGTTGCTTACTTGTGGAAGTCCTCGATGCAATGAATGAGCCCGCCAGCATCCACAGTAAAGGGGATCCCATCCAGGCTGCGATGGCACATCACGCAGGTGAAGCAGTGAGGGTGATAGGCCTTCCCAGTGGCACGAAGAATACGCTCCATGATGGGCTTGGAGCACACGTTGCACCGTTCCAGCGTGTTCTATGGAGGGAAAGAAAAATGTCATGGTTGGGCTGCAATTCAAGGCAGCTGTGTGGATATCACAAATATGTTTTCAAAACACACTGAACTTGTCATGAATTCTCAGGAATACAGAGTAGTACATATGAGGGGTCCTCAAAAAGTCAGTGGAAACTTGGTGAAAAAAACCATACATGGATTTTCAAATATTTTTGCCCCCATATACATACATATTTTAATTCCATTTCCATCATCTCTTTGAAGTTCACTCAAATCTTTAACAGAAAAAAAAAAAACCTAGACAGGTCAAGTCAAATTACTAAAGTCACCTAGGGTGTGGGTATTAAATCCAGGATTGAGGATTACAATTCTCTGACTTTTACCCTTGTTCATTCCCATGATAGCAAGTGTGATATTGAACATTGCTGTAAGTTTTTGCATTATAAATATTTGTATTAGAACAACTTAATTTTGCCCTTATGAGGTGAACAGTCAGATACATGTAAACAGATGGACACAGTTTTGTTGTAGTAAATTTTGTTTAACTACAATGGATGGTAAGTGAGCCTGAAGTTTAATATCCATGAAGGATATTTCACTGTAGCTCCTAAAAGGTGAGTCATCATTAAAACAGTGAAGTCCCTAAGGTCCCTAATTTTTCAGAGTGGTCTGTCTGGTAACCAAGACCTAGGCATCTCAATATGGAATCTTGGTTATCCAAGTGGTGTTTTAAACTGCTACGTCACATGCTGTCCTAGTGAAAAAGTTCTACCCTTTAAAACACACACCACTGAGTGAGGTGGGACTCAGGATTTCCATCCTTCCTGTGAATTTCATCCTTTTACCAAGCAGAGTAGCTATGTTGCCTGACTCACTGGGTTTCAAACTGGGAAAACCTAGGATGTGGAATGAATAGGGAAAATACAAGCCTGAATGAGATGTGAAAATTAAGGAGCAGCTGCATTCTTACAATGTGAATCTCTAAATGTTTGTGAGGCAAGGTGTGTGTAACTAACTTTCAGATGTGACTTACAGCAATGGCATCAGGATTTCCTACACTGTTTGCCTGTTACTTCCCATAATTTGCTTCCACAGTGACCCCAAATATTTCTAAAACTCGGAGGTGACAAAATACTTTTCCAGGTAACAAGGCTTTACAGCTCTATGATGCACAGACATAAGTGCCTAGGTAGTGTTCAACTCTCTGTCTAGGCTTAGTCTCTAACATGTCAGGGTGTGTCCTTGTGACAAGCATTCACAGTTTTTGTACCTGAACCAATGCCTTACATGACCTGCACTTTGCCATTCTGCCATTTGAAGGTATAGGTCAGAGGCATATACTTGTGAATTTTTTTCTCCATTACGCACTGAGAATGAACTGCCTCTTTCTCTCCCATCCTGAGCATTTTTCTGACAACATTCAGTGTGTACTTCATTAAAATTACATGTGCATATGTTTATTTCTTTGACTCTACTGTAACTTCATCAAGGGAAAGGACCGAGTCTAAAGAATGGATTTTTCTGTCCATATTGCAATAGAATAAAAACATGCTAAGGATAAATACGTGCAAAAGAGTGAATGAAAGAATACTGTTTACATCCCTCCCGCACAGTGCTGGCTTGAATCCCTGACTCTGGAACCCATTCCAAGATGAATTGGTTAATCTATCATCATCATCATCATCTTCCCCTCATAACTGTGGTTGCCCGAGGTTCTGAAATTGCTCAGCATGCTTCTGGTCATAGTCTAAACTCATGGAAACTATTAACCTATTTTCTTGCCCCATTCTGAAGTGGTGAAATTAAAATAGCAGACATGCATAGGATGAGCGTCTGCCAGTGATGACGATGATGGTCTGGTGAAGCAGGGTCCTGCTGCTTTTCCACTGAGATGAGCTGAGCTAATGTGGCTGGAAATTGGTTTCCCGAGCCTTGTGTTTTGCTCCTTCGTGGGTTTAAAAAACTGTTTTAAAGCTAGCCCTGTCATGGAGTTGAACAAACCAGAAAATGCTTAACCAGAAAATGTTTTTGTTTGCAGTGAGGCCTGGCTGCCAGATTCAGCTCATTTACTGAAACGCAGCAGCAGCATAGAAGGTTTAGTCAAGTTTCTCAGGAGAAGAGTTTATGGTCTATGGAGAGTCTGTTCAAAGGACAGGCTAATTTGAACATCTCTGCTGCAAAGGAAAAGGAAGTAAAACATGCCAAGAGTGTGGGACTATTATAAAATGCCCCCGAATCAGGAAATGCATGTTGTAATTTACTGACAGCTTATGTTAGCAAATGATGGAGGAGGACACGCCTTTCAGACTCTGGCCCGCTAGGAACATACAACACTTCCCCTCCTAGAAAACAGAAGCCTTTACAATGTTAGGGAGGCAAGTGCTGGGAACTCCTCTAGCTAGGCTCCCATCTCAGGAGGAGCAGAGACCAGTTAGGTGGAAGTAATGCCCAGTTTTTTTTAATGCCCAGTAATTCACAGAAGGAACAGAGAAATTCATTATGGAGTTGTACAGAGGGGAAATTGTTAGATGAGAAATATGAATTGTCATTTTGGTTTTTATCAATATCCAATGTATATGCCTAGTGTTATGACATAGCACAGTAAGCTACCACCTTCATCAATGGCATCCTATATGGGTATTAGTTTGAATCCTGGCTGTTCCACTTCTGATCTGGCTCCCTGCTAATGTGCCTGGGAAAACAGAGGATGATCTTAGAACTTGGACCTCCCTCTCTAACTCTTCCTTTCAAAAACATAAAAATCTTCAACAAAATCTGCTATATAATTTTTTCCTCTCAAAACCTCAGTTTTCTCAACTGTGAAATGATAATTTCAATTCTGCAATTTTAACACTCTATGATATATCAGAATTAACAGAATAGGGAAAGGTCAACATTTCCATGATCAGAAATATAGAAACAACTGGATAATGCTGTAGTGGTTTGAAGAAAGAACTTGCCTGTTAGAAACCTGGGCTACTACACTGCATAGTCTTCCCAGTTATAATTTGAGAAACTGCTAATCATAGCATTTTAAGTACCACAGATAGAAATCTTTCTGTTTTCTTCCACATGGTTGTTTTCAGGCCTGACAAAAAGATATATACTCACCATATAAATAGTAAGCTTTTCTGAAGTGTTAAATGGTTAATTAAAATGTGGATTTGAAGGATAGAGAAACTATTCAATGTATCTATTCAAATCATTCCTTGCAGGCGGAAATATGGCTTTGATGCTGGACAGGTGGGGACATAGGAGATAGAGCACTTTCCAGCTGAAAAATCTTCCACATCTTTAGAAGTCACCTACCCTGATCCTCCTCTACTGCTCTCCCTACTGGGTCACACAGTCCAGCCTCAATTCTATGCTCTGTGCCAAATCTGTAATAAGGGACATTCTTTGATAAACCAAGATACTTCCCACCTTTTAATTTATTTGGAAAATTCCCATTCATTCTTCAAAAGGAAGTTCAAGTGTCATTCATACTTTCAATAAAATAAGTAACTTATTGCACTGCCACAGGATGGATGACACATGAATACAATGTTCTTAGTGTCTCAAGTGGACCTCCAGGTCCTCCCTCCCTACAAGGAACCATAGTCTGAGGTTTAGTTTGCTAGAAAAGACTCGGCAACAAAGATTAGATGATTGGAGCTGATCAGTGAGTGTCCTTGTCATCACCTGGGGGAGCTTGGGGGATCACCTGGGCAGAAAGAGGAGCTCAGTTATGGCTATAACCAAGACTTTTCTCTGATGGCATTATGGAAAACTAAGCTGGTTTATCCGTGAATGCCATCCTCCTTTGTACTGAAGAATAAAGTCTTACATTCCCTGAATCTGCAATCAGTATTGACTGCTAGGGGAAATCTTGGACCAGCAGGTACCCTTAAAATGAAGGTAATTACCAGGAAGGATTCAACTATAAACTGTTGTGCTTTAGCACTCCCAACAGTCTGGGGAATGAGAACCTTGGTCTCCTAGATTGTCAGAGAAGCACATCACAGCATCTGCAACCCTGACCATCCTTGACCAAGGCCAACATAGTTCACAACACACAGTGGGTAACTGGTAAGCAGCTTGGGGATGGTGGGGGTTGGCCTAAGCTGAATGAATAATCTGTTGATCTTTTGCAGCAGGCATTCTTTGAGGAATTGTTTACAGAAAGTTTTAGGCAGTTACTGCAATGAACTATGATGGTTTAAGTGATAGATATGAGTAGCAGAAACATACAGGCAGGAAATCAGTTGTTGAAGGGCACAAACTTTTCAACACACCTTGACAGGATGGCATCACGTTGTAAATAAAAACAAAGAAGTGAAGACCTGTGTTATAGCATAGCACGTTATGCTTTGCTGCTATCCCAAATGGGTGCTGGCTTGAGTTCTGGCTGCTCCATTTCGAATCCTGTTCCCTGTTAATGCCCATTGCAAAGCAGTAGAAGATCACCCAAGTATTTGGGCTCCTGCATCCATGTGGGAGATCTGGAAAAAGCTCCTGGTTTTAGTATGGCCCAGCCCTGGCTGTTGCAGCCATTTGGGATGGCAACCAGCAGAAGAAAGACCTCTCTCTGTAACCCTATCCTTTCAAATAAATGCTTTTTAAAGGAAGTGACAATAATAATTTAAAAACTTTCACAAACAAAACTTGTACACAAAATTTCAAATGAAACTATTTTCAAATTACATATAAAATCAAGTTTATCATTTATATACTTGAATACTGTGAATATTTCTAACTCGCAGAAGAAGAGTTGGAAGCATTAGATGGATATTAATGAAGTATCTAAGTACCAGAAGCATTAATTGCTAGTTAAGCAATACGGAAAATAGAATATTACTACTTGTAATATCACATGGGAATATAAATGTGTTCATTGTCATGTGTTTTAAATCAAGAAGCTTGTTTGAAGATTCAGACAATAAAACAAGGCATCTAGAGAGTTAGAATACACCCCTTTCCAGTTCCTGAATTGCCAGTCCGGTGAGACTCCCTCTGCTGCACCACATTACAAATCATTCTGT